TGCTTCCTTCTTTAGCACTTAATATTTAGCTGTTTATGGAGGCAGCAATGTACTTGGTGTTCACTTGTAGAGTGACATTAATATGCACTTTGTCAATGACTTAGAATTGGTATCAATAGATCTGGATTTGAAAATCCTTTGAGGCATTTATAAGCCTCATGCATCTCAGAATAAAAGACTGCAAATCAATGAAGGAAATTCTTGCCTCATTTAAGCCTGGACTTATAACAATGATAAAGTCTTTCACTAAATGAATAGCAAAGTGGAGCAAGATTCAACTGGTGATTTTCATCATAGCAGGTCTGACTGTGCAAAGAAATGGAAACACAGGGAAACAGAACTGTGAGCTTATGACCCAGTCAAACAAAAATCTCTTTAACTTCCTGTCATTTGCAATGTCTCCTTACTGATACAGACCTTATACATCTTTTCCTTCCTCCCCTTCCATCTTTATGAAGCAACTAATAGGAGCTATGAAAGGTGCTGGGGTGTAATTTAGGCTGGGCTACACTAAGAATGTATTCTACAGCAGCGCTACACCATTGTCACCTTAGTCAGGATAGAAGTTTATTTCTCTGGTCTCATATGATGGCTCTGTTTTGCAACTATGAGAGGAATGCAGGATCTTTTCTTTTTATTTTCTCTGCCATCCCTGCAATGTTGCCCTCATCCAGGTGGTTCAAGATGATCAGCCACCATACCTGCATACCATACAGCAGAGCAGAGGAATGTGGGTGTGAAGGATAGGCCTCTTCCCTTTGAGGACTAAACTGAGAGGCTGCACACATAGTTCTGATTATATCCCCTGGGAAATGTCATCTTCATATTGGGCTGTCTTGTACACAGGGATTCTATCACTCTGGGAGAAAAGGGGAGAATGAGTATCAGGGATAGGAAGAAATCTCTGTCTGTGGTGTAAAATATCTGTGGTGTAAAAATGAAAGCTCTTGGTTCTTTCCTAAAAGTTGCTTACTTTGGTGGAAGAAAACAGAAGTGTCAGTAGGAAAGTAAGCGTAATTTTTTGCAACACTGTGCTGGTAATTAACCCAACACTTTTACCATCTAATTTCTTTTATTCCCTTACTACCTTTTGTTCTCCTTTTCCTCTGCCAAAACTGTGCTTTCCTCAACTGTTAAAACACAAAATTCAACCGAGCAATTTTTAAATATCTTATTGCAAGTCCCTTCTTGCTTGCAATGTTCTGAGAAATCAGCTGATAGTCCTATGGGAACTCTTCTGTAGGTAACTCTGCTTTTCTCTTGCTGCTTTTAAGGTTCTCTCTTTATCTTTAAATTTTGGCATTTTAATTATGACATGCTTTGGTATGGTCTTCTTTGGGTCCAACTTGTTTGGGACTCTGTATTTCCCAGACTTGTATGTCTATTTCCTTTGTCAAATTAGGGGAGATTTCCTTCATTATTTTTTCAAATAATTTTTCAACTTCTTGCTCTTCCTCTTCTCCTTCTGGCTTCCCTATGATTCGATTGTTGGCACTTTTGGAAATGTCCCAGAGGCTTCTTATACTATCCTCATTTTTTGGAATTCTTGTTTCTTCTTTCTGTTCTGGTTGAATGTTTATGTTCCAAATCATTGATTTGAATCCCAGCTTCCTTCCATACACTGTTAGTTCCCTGTAGATTTTTCTTTATTTAACTTAGTATAATCTTTGTTTCTTCCTTTGTTGCTGTACTGAGTTTTTTGAGCATCTTGATAACCAGTGTTTTGAACTCTGCATCTGATAGGTTGGCTATCCCTGTTTCATTTAGTTCTTTCTCTGGAGTTTTGTTATGTCCTTTCATTTGGGCCGTGTTTCTTTGTCTCCTCAATTTGACTGGTCCCCTGTGTTTGTTTCTGCGTATTAGGTAGAGCTTCTTTGACTCTCTGTCTTAGTAGTGTGGTGTTTTACAAACAAGGCACCTGTAAATTGTGTGGGGCAGAGCCTTAGGTACTTGCCTGGTGGGCCAACATGCTTCACCGCTTTATGGCTCTGTGTGGGGGGAGGAGTTGGAGAGGGGACAATGCTGCTGCCTGGCTTCTGGAGATTTGCCTGACTCTTGCCATGTTTCCAGTCACTTCACCCACTTCCCATATGTGACTGGTGCTTTCCCAGCAGCTTCCCTGGTGATAAATACACCAACAGTGGGTGGATTTGAGTACGTTCTACGTCTGCGTGGGCCGTTTAAGTGGTAAAAATCTGGCAGTTCTTCTGGCAAGAAACATTCAAAATAATTAAAAGCAAGGGCCTACAACCTAGATTACTCTATCCAGCAAAGCTATCATTTAGAATGGAAGGGCAGATAAAGTGCTTCCCATACAAGGTAAAGCTAAAGGAGTTCATCATTACCAAGCCATTATTATCGGAAATGTGAAAGGACTTATTAAGGAAAAAGAAGATCAAAAAACCATGAACATTAAAAAAGCAGTAAATTCACAACTATTAACAACTGAATCTAAAAAAAAGAAAAAATAAAAAAAGAGAAACCAAACTAGGCAACCAACTAGAAATGGAACAGAATCGTAAGTAGGGAGATCATTTGGGGAGCTATCACCTGGGAGGGGGAAGGTGGGAAAGGGGGAAATGGTGCAGGGATTAAGAAGCATAATTGGTAGGTACAAAATAGGCAGGGGGATGTTAAGAATGGTATATGAAATGGAGAAACCAAAGAACTTATGCCCATGACCCATGGACATGAACTAAGGTGGGGCTTGCTAGAGGGAAGTGGGGTACCGGGTGGAGGGGGGCAAAGGGGAAAAATATGGGACAACTATAATAGTATAATCAATAAAATATTCTTGAGAAAAGATCTTAGTGGCTCTATTCAATGATTTATAAATTTGGCAGCACCCAATCTAGCAGACAGAAAGGAGCTCTGAGGAGATCTACAAGATGAAAGATTTGTATAGGCAGAAAGGAGCAGGAACAAGGAAGTTGTAACAGGCAAAAAAGTGGGTTGGTGATTGCAAGGATGCTTCCCATTAGGGCACGGCTGAGGTCTCCCAGGCTGGATACCTAACTATCAGGACATTTCTGGTGGACTGGTTTAAGACTCCATTTCTGGCAGAGCTGAAACTGCAATTAAATCCTGGCTGGGTGACATGGAGCTTAGCATAAGTAACTCCTTTTTGGGCCTGTTGTCTTGTTTTTAACACTCTTTTACCTAAAACCCAAAATAACTGCACTCCTCCCCCTCAAAAAAACCCTACCTCATATCCTCTTGATCCTTCTCCCCTCTGCTTAATCCCCTGTTTTTCTTTCTTTATGACCTCTCTCAGCTGTACCTGATGCTGCTGACAAACTCTCTCCTTGTCTTCTCTGTTCATGTCACATTTTGTTTCTCTACCTCTCTTACTTCCCTTTTTTTCTTTGCTGGCTTCTCCTCCATCCTCTTAAATGTCAGAATTCCCCTGCACCAGGACTCTGCCTGGTCCTCCTGTCTTTCCACATCTCTCTTGGAATTGTATCCACCATTTGGTCCCAGTCATCACTTCAAAGCAAATCAATCACACATCTCTATTGAAGGGGACAGAGTTTGCCAAACCAAAATACGCCTCTTTGGTATATTGACTAAGCTAGTTAGTTTTAAGAAACAAAAGACTCAAGACAAACCTTTGACCTTTCCCTAACTCCCTAAAAGAATTCAGACAGAGGACCTGTTCCAGGAAGGGAGATATCATCACAGGTAACTGGTTCAGTATGAACTAGTGCATGATAGGAAGATAGCAAGCAAGGCTGGTTTGATCAAAGGCCTCTGTGTCCCATTGTTTTAAGATGCTCCAAGAAACATTGGTTTGCTAAACATTAACTCTTCATCTCCTTGTAAATTGCTTTCTTGCCCTGTGAAGTACCAACCTCTCCTGCTACTGCTTCACTTAGTTTAAGGTGGTATATGAGCCTTAACTGACCAACCTGCCTTGTCCTGGGGCCTCATGTTCTTTTGGAACCCCTATGTGTACATATATGATAAGTTTGGTTGTTTTCTCCTATCAATCTGTCTTGTGTTAATTTGATTATTAGTCCAGCCAGAAGAACTTAGAAAAGTAGGAAAAAAATTTATTTTTCTGCCTCCACAATTTTAGCGAGGCAGCCAGAAGGGAAGGAAATTTATTGGTTGGAACCCTACACATTCCCTTTAGGTTGCAGCAAATGAAATCCTGGGGCATCTAACACAGGCTGGAAGAAGGCAAGGGTCTTACTGTGTAAGCACACCCTCAGATCTCTGTCTGTGGGATCTAGTGGAAGCAAAATGTGTGAGAATTTTTTCCTTTCTAAATTTAGATTGGCAAGAAAAAATATTGGTAAAACTAGTTTCTTGGGCAAATGTGACTGTAGTAAAGACTTGGTTTGAATCTCTTATTTTCTGTTGATCTCATTCCTTCCAGGGATGGTCATTGTCTCTGCCAGCTGGAGGATGCGCATGCGTCTGGTGGGCTGTGGATCCAAGCTTAGGGAACCTAAACCTTATTCTGTTTAAAAGGGAGGAAAATACGTGGTTCCCTGTGTTTTGGAACAGCCATTTAAAGGCAGAGCCCCACATCTTTCTAAACTAGTATGGAGTGAGCTTTTGTATCTGTGAGGGATGTATCTTTCACATTCTCTTGTGGAAGCCTCTTGCTTCCTTAGTTAGACCATAAAAGTATTATTGGGTTGAGTCACTGTAGATCTTACTATTAATGGCCAGACAATGGATCCTTTGAATTGGTAAAACTTCTAAGTTAAAAATTTTTTTGAAGAAAGCTCTCATATTGGTATAATGACTAGCCATTAAAACTCCCTTAATAAGATAGAAGGACAGAAATTAGAACAAAAATCAAAGTCTACCCAGACCCATTCTTATTTGCCATTAGATATTTATAGATACAAAAGATCAGGGCATTGAAAGTATAATTATCCAGCACTTAAGAAAAACAAAAGAAGATAAAAGTGGGAAAAATCCTGCTAAAGACAACCTAAAAGGTTCTTTCCTTCAAGTTTTTAATGAAAGTTGTGTATAAGATTGCATTATTCTTGCATCTTCTCAGTTGTTTCTTCCTTGTATTTGCCCTTTTCCTTTCCCGCTTGGTGAGATTTGGCTTTATATTCAAGAGTATTTTTGCGGTCTTTGTCCAGTTTTAGTCTAGTGATAACCGCCTTGCTGGGGTGAATGCTCACAGGAACAGTTGTACCGTTAGCTTTCTCCCGCTGCACTCGTTCAGTATAGATGACGTGTTTGTTCCTGTAAACCTGGACTACTTTGACAATTTGCCGCCTTTTGTGATGTCCTCCCACAACCTGAACTTCAAGATCCTTTTGGATGTGCATGGATCGAACATTGTACTTCTGTCTCACCTTTTTGGAAAGAGGAGAAGACGTAACTTTTCTGTGAATGTGGGAAGGCGCATTGACATGCCTTTTATGGTTCTTGTTCTGGTCAGAAGTCACAAAGGGACTGAACTTCATTTTGACTGCTGGTGCCTTGGCGATGGCCGCAAAAGGGAAGAGCGGCAACCTAAAACTGTTATGTCTGAAGGACTTTGCTGGGTCATGAAGCTGGGAGCCCCAAAATGTAGCCAGCCAGAAGTTTGGGCCAAACCCATTTTCAGCTAGGGTCCCACCAAACCACTGCTGGCCCTCAGGAAGATTATAACCCCCGTCCTTGGTCTAAGGCCAATAGAAGAGCCATAATTAAAGAAATTTTTTTTTTTTACACCAGGGAGGGTCCTTGAAGGTTTATTCATATTTCCTGAGCTCAGGGAAAGAGGGAAATAAAGTTCACATTGTCCCTTCCTTCCCAGTCCAGGCAAATTGGCTATTGATCCTTTTTCTCCCAGGGACAGCTGTGTATGCCTGTGTTTTAGGACTTGGCATTAGCTTTCTGTCTGCCTGGGTCATGTTCTTTCGACCGTCAGAGGGAATGACTCTGGAAGGTAAAAACCTTTGCACTTCATCAAGCTCATGAAATTGTTTAGCACTGCTAGAAATAATTACTGTTTGTCCTAGCTGAAACCTGAAAGGATATTTTAAAAGAATTTAATAGCTCCACGATCAGAAATTTGGCAAAATTGGAAGTTCACTTTTCAAAGTCTGATACAAAAGTTTTTAAGTCTCCTTGGCAATTCCCAGGCCCTTTTGTGGATGATCAGGATTGTAAACAGCCCACAACTGCCTGAGACAAAATAAATCAAAGGAAAAAAAAAAAAATGAGAACCGAGAGCTTTCTGAAAGCACAAGCTGCTGAAAAATCTCCCATGCCCAAGTCTAGTCCCCCACTCACCCAGCTTCTGTAAAAATTGTTTGTCAAATGAACTGATCATGACTCTAATTTTAATTACTTTTTGTTTTAAATATTGCTGACTTTCAAAAATCTTTTGTTTTCCACATATAAGAAAACTTGAGCATTTTGGTATAATATACAGCTGTGAGCAGAACTGTAACATTTATTTTTTCCTTCCTACTTAGTCCCTCCAGAATTTAGAACATTCCGTGAATATTATTTTCATGGCAATGTAATTATTTGCATAAGTTCAGTAAGAGTCAGTTTTTCCTTATAGCAAGACACAATTGTAAAGTGATTGTGTACCAAGGCTTTGACGGGAATGTTGAGTGTGAGAGGTGTGCATAGAATCAAATATGACCTGACAGCTTTAAGGGATGAAGGTGAACTTATGGAAGCCTCTTGGAAATATTGGCCTGGTACCTTCCTTACAGGGTTCCCAACAGCTTTACCAGGTGAGTAAGAAAGGTCACTTCCTGGCAGGTATAGGAATATCAGGATATTTTAAGAACCCCAAGAAGAGACAAATTATTCCAAATCTAAGTGTACTGTAGGCAAAATCTGATAGTAAGTATGCAGCTTGCCCTTGTAGCCTTGAGATGCTGTTAAAAGTTTAACCTGACCCAGGCTGGGTAGCTTATTTGGTTAGGCTGTTGTCTGATAGGTCAAGGTTGTGAGTTCCAATAAATCAATGTCTCTCTCTCTCTCTCTCTCCTTTCCTCTCTTTCTCTAAAATCAATAAATTAAAAAAAAATTAAAAAAACTTTAACCTGGAGATTCCTTATGAAAAATTTCAGCAAAGTAGATTTAAAGAGCCTATATGATCAATAGTTATTCTTGCTGTACTTAAATAATCAGGCCAAACTTATTAAAACTAGACTTATTTTGCAAATAAATTAGTCTTGACTGGGCTATGTTTGGTAAAACTAAGGGTCATTTAGAGAAGAAAAATTACATTTCAATAGTAACTATAATACATACTTGTGGATATTAGACTCTAGTTCAGTTAGTTGCCTTTGAGGTTTTGTTTTTCACCTGAAAACTGGACTGGATCCTGAATTTTCCTAGTTTTCTCAAATACTTGGCTGCAGTGCTTCAAGCTAACCTTTTCATTTTTTTCCTCTCCTTTGACTTGGAATTACTGAGAACTCAAAATGCTTTTTTTTTTTTTTTTTTCCTGGAAGTCCTGCACCCTGCAGCTTGATGATCTGACGTTAATGTCAAGAAATGACCACAACAACTCGTGCTTAGACAACCTCCATGCCTGATGTTGTGTGAGCCACTTAAAAGGTTTCCCCGACACCTGATGACATCATTAGAGACATTTCAACTGCAATGAATAGGTCAAGCCTAACATCTAGAAACCTGGCAGCCCTCCAGGCTCAGAAACCATGCTTTTAATTTGACCTAAACTTTAACCTTTGTTTGTTTCAATAGAAATGGTCTCTTATTAAATACCTGATTGCTTGCTTACGCAAGAGAGACCTACTTTGCGGGGCCTGCGTGCATCACCGCCTCCTGAAATGAGACAAAATTGTTTAACGGAACTGATCTGCCTTCAGGACGAAGTGCTTGTTCAATAAAATATGGAACAATCTACTTACCAACTTAGCTTCTGGACTGTAAAACTTCTTATTTAAACTTAAAAAGATTGACAGAAATTTTTATTTTTCTACCCTCACATTATACATAGAGCAAAAATTATGACTATAAACCAAAATCTCATGGACTTCAGCTTCATGTGTTCTGCTGTCTGTGGTATATTTCTATCAAGATTCTCTTAAAGCACCTAACTTTACACTAGTCAAACTCATCTTGCCCATGCCTTCTACAAATCCAACTTTCTACTTTTCTCATTACCACTCAGAAACTGGCTCCTGGTTTGAACCCCCTGTGTATGTCATTGGAACAATTTGCTTTTTAAAATTTTTTTAAATTATTACTTGAAAGTTTTTCTAATTTTACATTTCACTTAAATTTTTATTTTAAATATCTTTATTGAGGTATAATCGACATACAATAAACTGTACACATTTAAAGTGTACAATCTGATAAACTTGGCTGTATGTATACATATATGCGACCATCGCCACAGTTACGACAACGACCATACCCATCACCCCCAAAAGGCCCCTGGTGTTCCTTTGTAATCATCCCCACTTCTCCCTCCCGCCTCCCTCCCCCTCCCCTGCCACCCCACCATCCCCAAACACACTGATGTGCTTTCTGTCACTAGGGATCAATTTGTTTTGTCTATAGTTTTATAAAAATTAAGTTATGCAGTATGAACTTTTTATACAACATAGTGATAAGACATTTATATAACTTATGATGTGATCATCTGATAAATCTAGTACCCGTCTGACACCATACATAGTTATTATAGTATTATTGGCGATATTCTCTATGCTAACCTTTACATATCAGTGACTTTTTTGTAACTCCTAATTTGTACTTCTTAATCCTTCACCTTTCCCACCCATCTCCCAACCTGCCTCCCATCTGGCAACAGTCAAAATGTTCTCTATAGCTGAGTTTTTGTTTCTGTTGTGTTCACTTATTCTGTTTTGTTTTAGAATCCCCATTTAAGTGAAATCATCTGGCATCTGTCTTCCTGTGTCTGACCTATTTCCCTCAGAACAGTACCCTCTAGGTATATTCATGTAGTTGCAGATGGCAAGATTTTATTGTTTTTTATGGTTGAGTCATACTCTATTGTACTATGCACCACTTCTTTATCCATTCTTCTTTTGAGGGACACTTAGGTTGCTTCCACATCTTGGTTATTATAAATTATACATATGGAGACATATGTCTTTTTGAATTAGTGTTTTGGATTTCTTTGGATAAATAGGTAGAAGTGATTCTCTTAGCATCTTAGTATTTTGTTATAAACTGCCTTTATCTAACCCTAGAAGATTGGGCTGGTTCCTCTCTGAGGCCCACTATGTCAATTACCTAATAAATATTGATACTTACATGGTGAGAAAGAGTAACACATCTTCATGAAGGGTGAAATATACTTATTGAAATTACTCCCATATTTCAATATAGAGGTCATGAGACAGCAGCTCTTTCACTGACCCTGGGGGAAACAGTCACATAAAATGGTACCAGGATCTTTGGGTCTATTTAAAGTGGTGTCTACTATATTTTTAGGTAGTTGAGCTGCAAAACAAAACTTCTCTAGAGGGAGTTGGTCATTTCTGTCCCTTCAATACCTTTACTCCTAAGACCAGCCCTCCTCCAAGTTCACAGACTCTACATTGCACACTTTAAAGTTAATTCTTGCACTTTTCTGAGGTAGGAAATATTCTCATATTGTGACCCATGCAGATAAAAATCCCCCTTTCTTTCACTGGCCCATGACTTGCTCTATTACTGCCTCATTTGAGTTTTGTTGTTTGCTCATGTTTTCTGCCTGCCAGCTTTTCATGAGCATCTTGGTTTCCAAACTCTTGACTATTGTGTTTGGGTTACACTTCATTGCACAGGGCTTGCCAAGGAAATTTACTTTCCAGGAAAACAAAGTGTTTTCTAATGTGTGCGCTTGTGTGTGTGTGTGTTCCCCCACCCCCTTTTTTTTTAATTTGACAAATTTATTGGCATTTTAGTAACGACATTCATCTCAGTTGTTTCTTTTTCTCTTCCTGACCATAAGTTAATATTTAATTTGGGTCCAGAAAAATATGCAGGATAAGGATGCTATTTTAACATAAACAGTAAAATGGACAAAAATGAAAAGTTTGCTTACTTTAATGCAAGTTAAACTCATGCATCTTAATGTAATTAAATCATGTAAGGAAGAGCTAATCCTTCTATATACATTTCCATTGTTCTACTTAGGGCTTACTGTAACCTTAAATGCAAGTGAACAAAGTGTCAGGAAAATATACAGGCTTTTTCTCTGGAGGTATTACTTATTAAAGAGCTGAATGGGTAGTAACCACCATTAAGGTGGTCTGAAGCTGCCTGCGAATTTAACATTGTAGGAGTTTTCAAGGAAATCATTATACTGCACTTTTATTTATGACTATGCCTTAAAATGTGTTTACGCTAAAAAAGAATTCCTATACAATACAAAAATACACCCCCTCCCAGAACACAGCTCTGACAAAGTATATGTAGTCAAGATAGTCTTATACCAGTCTTTAAAAAGTAAACTGTTCCTTTTCACTTTACACCTACCCCACACCCCAATTTCAAAACACATCATTTCATT